GCTAAATGATTGAAAAATTCTAGAAACATATTGCGGATATTATGGAGATTGTTAACTGGCTGATCTTCAAGTCTCTGGTGGTGTATTTTAAGAGTCCCAAAGGGGAAGCAGAATGTGCAGAAACAGATGATTTTCCACAGCATGAAATTTAGACACCTTTTCTTTGGAGGTCTTTTCATCTAATGGGCTAGATAACAATTTGAGTTTCCAGAAACTTTTGCATAGTTGATCATGGAAATAATGCACTCTCTAAGCAATCCTGTTCTACAAGATACGCTGAGCCGCACGGTCACAGAATGTTACTGAGACTAAAATTCAACCCATCATTCAGAGAAACCAGCTAAGCTGATACACCTGAATAAATAAGATATGTTCAGTCAATTGTTGGCACACAGAAATTCCCTCATTATCATTTCCAACAGTCAATCTCTAACTCCAAAGATACTATGAAGAACAGCCTAAAAAAAAGTAGACAGCCAAAAGAACAAAAAGTTGGGGGAAAAACCCCATAAAACTAGCTGGCAACAATGAACAAAATTTGAGCGCATCATTACTACTTTGTGGATGTAGTTTTTGTGAAGCTCTAGCTTTATTATATACAACTTCATTATAATGAGTGGGAAGATATGAGGGGAACACTCTAATCGATAACAGTTCATGGTAACAGAGATTAAAATCTGGTCTGGTGTGTCAACACAGAGGCCAGTGGGGTGGCCACTTATAGAATTTAAGGGCTGTTACAGAGAGAGGAGAGGAATAAAAAACCTTTATCAAAACAGACAACATTATCTTCAATTATTTATTTATTATTACCTGATAGCTGAGGTTGCAAAGACTTGACCTTTGGAGCCCACACAAAGAACTATCATTGAAGCAACAACTACAATTAAATCTGGAAAATAAAAATAAGGGAAGATAATGAGTTCAAAGCTTCATGCAATGCTTTGATAAGATTGTGATATAAATCCAATGCAGACATTATTTTAACTGTGAGAAGGGTGACATTTTTAGACAGCTATCCAAATAAAGTTTTAGGATTATATATCTACTAGCTCTGTTGTAACAGAGAAAATATATTGTGGTGTAGTAAAAATGGTTTTATTGCCAAGAGTCAGGGATGGCTGCATTTTTAATTAGTGGCAACATTAGATACAACACAGATCATTCCAATAGTGTGTCAAAAAGCCTACATGTTCTATATACCCTACATATTTTACAATATTTTGTAATAGTGGTTTTTTTAAATGTACTGGCACTGCTTTTTACTTCTCCCATCTATAAAATCAGGTGACATGTAACATGAATCTAACTGTTGAGACTTGGAAGAAAGTGAAAAAAGTGTAACTAATAGATTTTACAAGTAGAGTCTTGCATGGATACAAATTTATATCCACAGATGTGGATATCTGCATATAAATCCCCATACATGGAACCACAGTTCTTTCCTGAAAGTTGCAGCGGTGAAAGTAGCAGAATGTGGAATCACCACTCCCAGGACCCTGTGCCCCGTGCTTGTAGCTCCTCTGGCCATGGTAAGATAAATAATCTTAAACTTTATTTGGATAAAAATAAATTTTGGATTAAAAACTTTTGTTTGTCTAAAAACGTTTCCACATTCAGCCCAGTGTTCAGGCCTGTCCTCATCCCTTCCACGCAGCTGTCTGCATCTTCTGTCCAGTGGAATGATAGTAAACCTAATGTTCACCCTAGAAGGGGGCGGGGGCGGGGGCAAATACAGCTGTGTTGGAAGGCATGGCAGCTCCACGTTCTTCTCCTTTCACAACTAGGGTTGCCAGGTGTCCGGTATTCACCCAGACAATCCGGTATTTTTGGCTCCTGTCAGGTAAAAAAATTCAGAGAATACCGGACACCTAAAATGTCTGGTATTTTCGGAATTTTTCCCCGGCCAGGAGGCGAAAATGCCCGGCACCTGGCTACCTTACAAACACTCATCTCCCGGCCTCACCCTCTCTCCCCCCCGAGTTCCTCCCTGGCTCCCAACACCCCTGACCCAAGCCCTCATGCTTACCTGGTTCCCCAAGGCTGCTGGCACAAAATGGCTGCCGGCCAAAAGACCTAGGGGAAGCATTGCTTAGTGCTCAACAGCTCCCCACTTCCTGCACTCAATCTTAAAAGGGACATGCTGTTTTATTTTAATTTTTTTTTGGCTTAAGTCCTTGGAGTCCTTTTTTTTTTCGCGGGGAGGTCTCCCCCCTCCCCCTTCTTTTCCCTTCGACAGAATTTTTTCCCAGTGTTTTTTTGGGAGGGTGTTCAGTATTTTTGTTTCAACCATCTGGCAACCTTATTCACAACTGCAGTTCCCAGGACATCCCTGCAGTTCTGGAAATACCAATTTCAATTCTGCTCTGGGCTCTATTTGCAAACTTCTCTAAAAACTAACTAAAATAGCTTTACTTATGCAGCAGTGGTCACCCACCAGTTGATCACGAATGGCTGGTCAAGCCTGGGGAGTCTCTCAGTCAATTGCGATTGGTAGGCATCCTGCCCGCCCCTGCCTCATGCCACCTGCCCATTTCCAGGAGCTGCCAGAGGGGGCCTGCGTGTGGGGGGGGGGGGGGGCAGAGGCAGGTGTCTCAGTGCACTGTTCCTACCTGAAAGCACCCACTACAGCTTCCATTGGTTAGGAACTGGAAACTGGGGCCAATGGGAGCTGATGGGGAGAGTGCCTGCAAAGCCACATGACCCTTATCCAGGAGCTTGCTGGCCCCTTCTGGGAGTGGCATATAGAGCCCTGTGTGGATACAAATTTCTGCCGGCAGTTAGATATCAGTATCTTGAGTCACAGGAGAGGAACACAAAAGCTAGTGCCCTGCACTGCCACTTCCTTCTGGCAGTGTGGTTAGTACATATCTCATATGCTGTGGCAGGGGGAGGGGAATCTGGGGAGGAGAATCAAGTTGAAAAGGTTTTTTTAAAACAGGAACTAACAATGCCACAGATTTCTCAAAGTTCAATTCTCCCCAGATACTAGTGATAAATGTTCTTATTCTAAGCTGGCTGGAATTACTAAGGAAACTCAATTTTTTTAAAATGGTCAAGGTGTTTAGAGGAAAGTGGCTTTTTTGTAGTGTTTATGATAGTTGTTCAAACCACGTATACTTACCAATTATAGAAATAGGCTTCCTAGCAAAACGAAGCCGTCCCCATAATCCAACATATTTACTACGGCATCCTGCTGACCATAAACGAACCACATACTCCGTTCCAAAAAATACCACTAATACAATTTCCTAGTGGAAACAGATAGGGAACTAGATTAATTTTCTAATTTACATATTCGCTCGCTTCTTTCAGGTGACATTATGTAACACAGAAAATGAAATGTAAAAGTTGGGAAGAAGAAAAGGATGCAACACGCCAAGAAGATCCAAACTATAAAACCTCAGGAAACTGTGTAAGCAGTGGGAACTGTATGATAAAGAATAAGCTCAAATACCAGAATGGCATGCTGTTTGGATCTTCTCTATGTGCTAAAACTGAAACCATTCTGCATAATTTACTTGGCTTCAATAATTCAAACAGAGAGATGCTTGCCTTAGCCAAAGAAAACAAGCAGACTCTGAATTCAAAAGACAAATATTTTGCTAGTATATCTCATTTCCAGAAAAAGTACACTGTACACACCATCTGCAGTATCATCTTAGCCAGCTATTTACCTACCCTTTTATAGCCTATGTGCAATCCACACTTTTAAAAGTAACATTTTTGGTACCCAATTGTGGCTTGATAGTTTCCAGGCTGTTTTAAAACATGGGGCAAAATCCTGTTCCCAGCCCCTAAAACCAATGGAAGTCTTGAAAAGGGTTAGGAATTCACTTACAGAACAAAATGAAGTAAAGATTGATAACCAAAATCCCATACTAAGCTGAAATTCTGGGCTTTTGTAAGAAATGTACAAGAATATGGTTCAGGAATTTGGTTAAAACACTGTTCCGTGGCAGCTACACTGCCAGACTGAACAGTTAAACATTTTAGGGCAGTGACCCAGGAGATTCTGGCATCTACAGTGGATGGACTGGAAGGATCTAACATCCCTCTGAATCTGACAGGAAAAGAACAACACAAAACTGGAACTTAGCTGGTGTGATTTTCAGGGCACTTTTATCTCCATTTTAAATCCCCAAAGAGTAGCTTTTTGTCAATTAGCAGATGATGGAGTTTTCATTATATGTTTTCAAAGTAACAGAGTTGCAATCCTGTATTTTTTTATTTAGAAGCCATGTTCAATTTGTATCTATTGCAACAGAATAGCCTAACTTAGCATTAAGTAAAACCTTAAAAAACAACGAATGGTTTAGCAGCACCCTAAAGACTAACAAAACATGTAAATGGTATTGTGAGCTTTTGTGAGTACAATTCACTTCTTCTTCAGATGAATTAGCACTAGGTAGAAATCATCCCTTATTGAGGGCAAAATGGGAAAATATACAGGACATAACACCTAATATGTTAAAATATTCACAAGGAATTATGGTTCTAAAAATAATTAAAAGGCTATACAACAAACTGCATGGTTTATTGGAAAAACAAGATGGGTGAGGACCATCTTCTGTTGGTAAGAAAGAGAGAAGCTTTCATGCTGTGTAACTCAAAAACTTTTCTCCCTCACCAACAAAAGTTGATCCAGTAAAAGCTATGATTTCACCCACCTTGCTTGGGACTAATACAGCTACATCAACACTGCATGCACCAATGGCTTGTTGGAGCAGTTTGGTGCCTGAGTAAACAAGAATGACAAGAGCCAAACATTTCTTCAGTAATAGACGATCCCAATTGTTGCGGACGAGAAGAGGGCATGTCGCCAGAAAACATTCCCTCTCTAAGACTAAATAACAGGACAAGTCTGTGACAGCTATTCCCTGTATGTCATGACATTGCACCACTTAATGATGATGACGATGAGAGAAGAAAAGGGCTGAGAAAAGTGACCACTTTTAGCTTTCATATAGGGGAGATTTTAATTAATTAAAACACTGAAGATGAAGTCCTGGTCCCACTAAAGTCAATAAAAGCATTGCTTTAAAGGTTAAAAGAGCAATAGGGCTGCCAAAACAGGAAAAAGAGAGCAACTATTCTTATGCATCATGGTCCCAGTCCACTGACTTTAATGGGAGTTGGACAGAGTTCTAAAATGCCAGCATTCTGATGGTGCATTAAACTGCTCATCTCTGGTAACTAAGTTGTGCAGGTGCAAGTTGAAGACACTCTGTCATTTTTCAAAAGACAAATGAATGTTGGCCGGGCCCTAATGCCCTGGACTTTAAGTTGTTGCCAGGTGCAGCAAGATAGCTCTCACAATTGTCTGCAATGTTTTTGTGCTCCTAAGAGTTTTTCAGTTTCAAGCAAAATGAAATACTGGCCACATCCTTGGTTGCTATAAAGATGGAAATTGGCCAATTTACATCACCCAAGGATCTGGTCCATAGTCTGTTCTAATGTGTGAAAGGAATAAACAGGAAACCTTGTGAGAATTTTATTCAGAAACACTACCATGTCATTTTTTTAAAACGTAATGGGCCTTCATTTGTAACACAGTATAAAACAATACAATATCCTATATTTGATATAGTAACTTCATATGCAATAGGACTCCCCTTTTAGTTAGCTTTAGTTGAATATATTTTAAACCTTCACTGAAATGCAAATGAGAACACTGTCCTGTCTATTAAAAAAGTGATTCAGTATTAAGGCAGGAATGTCATTTATTTTATGAAGCACTGATTTATAGGATATAATCAACATGCTCTAATATACTAGTACATTTCTTTATTGAAGCAGGCTAATGTAGCCTCTTTCATCTCTGGTATGGAGGAAACTCCCTCAGCGAAGGACAATGACAAATCATTAAGCAGAGAGTTAGCTGTTTCTTTCATGCAAACGACATTATTTAAGCAACAAACCTATGGCCTCAACTCATATGTGATGTGCACACAATAGTGTTCAGACTGCCCCAAATAGGGATTAACAAAACAAAAAAGAGAAGATTTACTTGGAAGGAAAGTTAAACTTTGTGCACAACAGCAAATGCTATTTCTTGACCAAAAACTGTAGGATTATCAAGATTATAGTTTCATTATTAAAACAAGAAGGGGAAAACCAAAGCCATGGCTATGTTGTTGATTTTTTAAAAAATGTGTGATTTTTTGAGTGCAAAATTTGCATGAGAGTTGTGTGGGTTTTTTAAAAAAAAGACTCTCCATGGTTCATTGGATAACAGGAACACTGGCAAGTATGCAAATGTGGGCTGTCCCAAAGACAATGAAACAGACATGTAGTCAATGGTTACTGTCATCCAGTTCTTTGCGTGACATGCAGACAAGCTTAGAGAACATTGATTGTTCTATAGACTCCTGTGACTGGAGGGAACGACCAGTCGGCTTACACCAAGACACATTTTTCACTCCTGACGTTTTGATAAAGGCTTATTGACCTAAATGAGATCCAAGTTATTCAGGGAACATCAGGGGTGAAAGTGCACAAGCTGTTCTTCATGGTTATACACAAAAACTCCAGGTATCCATTAGCAACTGGCAAATTCCCCCTCCTCTACCCGTGGCTGTGTGACAGACAAAAGTGGTTTTAATATCTTGCCTTGTATAAGTCTAATAAGTTATCTAGTTGGGGGGGATGAGGCAGATGAATTTTTGTCACTACATTTATATGTTAGCTGCCAGATAAGTTGCAGACAGGAGTGAGAAAAGTTATAGATATTTAAAATAACTCAGAGCAGTCATTATAAAGACAAACTTAGTTGTCCTCATGAACTCCTAGAATATTCCCTTTACAATCCCTCAGTAGCTGAGGTTTTGGTGATTTTTTTGGTAATTTTCTAAAATAATATGCGCTATTTTACAAAAGCCAATTGAACAGATAGATATTGGGGGCTTAACTCTCCTCTCAGACTGTTGTCAATCAGGTGTAAAACCAATGCAATGAAGAGTTACACTTGCATGAATCATGACCGTAAGTCACATCTCACTCCTGAGACTTTGAATAAATCT